GCAACCATATATATATATATATATATATATATATATCCTCTTTCCTATTACTTGTTTCACTTCTGTTTCAGTTTTTTATAACCATTTCTTACTATGTGTCCGTAAGTTGTTGTTATTTTAGCATGTGTGTTTGGCTCAGTTTATTTTTTTTAGGATTACTGATAAACTAATGTAGTTTGATTTGTATTAGTTATCTATTTTAGTTTTAGTTACAGTTGTAGTCATGTTGTCATTTTATTAGTTTTTTTATTATATAGGTTTTTTTATTAAGTTTTAGTTGTATTTCATTTGAGTTATTTCAGTACTTCAACATACAAAATGGAAATGAAATAATATATATATATATATTGAATGTATTTATATATATATATGTACATGTATATGTGTGTGGCTGTACATACACGTATGTAGTTGTTTTTTGGTGTTTGGCTTAGTGTTATGTTAGAATCATTATTATACTCATACCTTTTGTTCTTTTAATATTTTGAATTGTTTTTAGCTTAATTTTTTTATTTATTTTACTTTTTTTTTTTCATTTAAATGTTTTGTTTTGAAATGTTGTTGTATGCATTTGTCATTTTTATTTAATTTCTTTTATTTTCTTAAATGTGTATATATATAGTATTTATAGAGTTTTAGCTTTTAGTTTTAATTACTTTTTCTTATTTGTAAGTCGCTTTGGATAAAAGCGTCTGATAAATTACTAAAAGTAAAAGTAAAAAGTCCCATGTCCCATTTGATTGCATGGAGAGGGCGGGGTTTATGACCTATACTAGGACCAGCCACCTGGGGGCGATCGAAACGCAAGGATGGGCATTTAGAACAATGCATATAGACAATAGGCATGCATGTACATTGACTCGTTTCTAAAATAAAGATTTCTTTGGTTCATAGGTTCAGCATATTACTAGGCCTATTTTTTGTTATCATGAAACATTTTTTTTTTGGTTCTGTAATGGTCTTCAGTTACTGTGTTATTCTTTTGAGATGAAAAAAAAAGTAACATTTGGTTCTTCATATCAGTATATTGACTATATACTGTATATTGGTCATATTTCAGTATATCAGTATATTGAAATGGTTTAAAGCATCTGGTTTTTATGAATAACCTAAAAGGTTTTGGTGGAACCGAAAAGTTGTCTTACTACATCAGATAAAATAAAATAGGAGAATACTTTATTATTGTATTTATTCTTATTCACTGTAAGAATAAACAGTCCAAAAGGGGAAGAAATGTTTAATCGCTTAAAACAGGCGTAGGCTACATTGAATTGCGATCTTTGAGCCAGACGTAGGCTACATTGAATTGCGGTCTTTGCGCCTATTGTATTTGTATTTGTCAATTATTTTAAAACAATGATGATGAGAATTAAAATACTCAGTTTGTCCACACCGTGGACATCAATAATTTTAATGAGAAGCGAGTTGTTTGTATAACAAGATTATCTGCTCTAGCCAGGTGCTCCTGATATTCACGATCGAGATCCACAGACAAGCACACATCGCTGGATTCAAAACTGAACGCTAAATGTGAGTAAATGTTTTCTTTTTGTCACCGTTTACTGTTTATTTCTCAGGTGTAGTTATTAGAGGTATTTAGTCCCTCTTTTATGTCTGTTGCTTACGATGTTCGGGGTTGTAATTGGATGAATTATCTGATACCTTAGTGATCATGAAACCTTACTTCAGCCTCGACTGAAAAAAGTATAAATTCATCGTTTGTTTGTTAATCTATTTACCTTTATTTCGTTAAAAGTATCATTATTAATTATAACATTAGGTTCACAATGCATTTTGTAATTTATCAGTACGTTTTTCTGGGTTTCAAAAATCAAAACCGGTTCTGCTTTCTAAAGAGCAGTATGGCACAATCACGTTATAATGGTAGGCTATGTTACTTAAAGGATTAGTTCACTTTCAAATTCAAATTTCCTGATAAATTACTCACCCCCATGTCATCCAAGATGAGTAAATTATCAGGAAATTTGAATTTGAAAGTGAACTAATCCTTTAATATCAGGGCCAATGAGTTTGTTGAACTCTTGTCGTTTTTGTGTTCCTTCTCATTTTCCATTGTAACATCAGTAAATCGTAAATAACAAATGCATGTGAATTGAAATTTAATTTAAACAAATCAACCCACTGAATACACTACATAATATTTGTTCGTTATGATTTATTTTAGAAATAGAGTATAGTGATACAATGTAAAGCTTTTTGGCAGTAGTATATCATCCGTTGAACATAAAAAAAAAAAAAACTCTATAGTTTAAAACACGTGGCAAATCTGAAATGCTTTAAAATTAGATACTTTTAAGTAGGCTACTTTAATTTTGGCAAGTCAGATTTGCTTAAACCAGCTAAACAGATACAGCTACGACCGGAAACGAACAATAAATAAATTTTTCTGCCTATTATATTGTGTTTTATTAACGTCTACATCTATCCCAACCCTAAACCTACCCCTTACAATATTGCAAAAACAGTAATTATTGTTGTACAATGTGACAAAAATGATGCTATAGCCTATTGATGTGCGCATGCCCAGTAGCCGCAGCTGTATCCCTTCTAGACTTTAAGGGATAGTTCACCCAAAAATGAAAATTCTGTCATTAATTACTCACCCTCATGTCATTACAAACCCACCTCCATTCATCCGTGTGCTTTTCCTGCACGTAAACAAAGCATGTGCATGGTGCTGCTGATGTAGAACATGCATGAAAAGTCAGTTTACTACTCTTCCTCTAACCCTTTATTCCTATAAATAAATGTCTTTATTGTCATTTATTGCTCAGGCTCTTGCAGCTGATCTCATGATAAGGTGCAGAAAGGTGCTAGAGGAATCACCTGGAATCACCTCGACCTCACTCTAAACCGGCCCAACATCAGAGAGTAGAAGCCCCTCAGCATTCAAAATGCGCTGGTTGATTTTTATTTGATTCTGGTTTCATGCTGATGGTAGAAGTGTACTTTCCTGAGTTTTTAATCTATTCACAGTCTCTACAATCTACAAGGAGCAAAACTAATTACTCCCAAGTGATTAAGGAGCTGTTTTCTGTCATTCCTGGAGAGGAACGGTACAGAGATGCCGGCCCGTCCCGCTGTCGAACCTGTGCTGTGGTGGGGAACTCTGGGAACCTTTTAGGATCATACTATGGTCCTGTTATAGACAACCACGATTTTGTGTTCAGGTAAACTTTTATTTTCATGATTCTTTATAGTCAAGAAGCTAATTATGATAGAGACTATAATTTTACAATTCTGATTTCCACAGGATGAATAAGGCACCAGTTCAAGGCTATGAGAAAGACGTGGGATCCAGGACGACCCATCGTATCATGTACCCAGAAAGTGCAACCCATCTGGACAACAACACACACCTGGTGCTGTTGCCCTTCAAAACACTAGATATCCAGTGGGTCACCAGTGCTCTAACTGATGGATCTATCAAACGGTGAGAGAACATCACGAAAACAAGGTCACATTTGACCACAAAATGAAAAGAATATTATTTTTATATTATATATTTATAAATATTTTGAATAAAGAAAATTAAGCTTATTTTTACAACCCTTTTCATCACAGTTAATTTATTTTTTTCCATATTTCAGGATGCATCCTCACAATGCTTCCAGATTTATATATATTTAAATCAGCAACAATGTTTTTCTGTTTACACGTCATTAAGCCATGATGTGTAAATTGTGAATATTTCACAAATTAAGTTGAGAGGATAACCTGCATAACTCCTAGCTATGAAAGAACCAATATGACAGTGACAGTCTCTACAATCTACAAGGAACATTGGTTTTGTAAGTCATATTTTGAATGATGTGTAGATATATTTTATCGTAAATGATTTCTTGAATTGTTTTGACCCATTTTCTCTTATTGTATTACTTAACAGAACATGGTTTAAGGTTATAGACCAGCTACAAGCCAACAAGGACAAAGTAAGATCAGTATCTTCAGTTTTTTTTTTTTTTTTAACAATAAACCTTTCAATAAAAGAGTTCATTTAAAGACCTTTGAATTGACATAATTGGGCAGAAGAAAGTGCACTTTGTCTCTACAAACTTCACCAAGGAAACCTAATAGCTATGGAGACCAATGTTATGATACATAGACTATAGGCATGAGATAACTGCACGATACATTCAATGGGAATCTTTTAGCATCACCATAATACTTGCTGCTGTAAACACTTGTGCAGAAATGTTTCATTTTACATCTTAACATTTCTTTGTTTAAAAGGTGTCAGAATCCTAAAACTTGTTTTTATTATCAGGTTCTGAGTCCCAGATTTTCTCAGACTCTTTTAGACCCCTTTCTAGTTTCTAAAGTGGTTTATAATTGTTTTCTCATTCTTTCAGGTGATGGTTATGCACCCTGCTTTCATGCATTATGTGCACAATGCGTGGCTGCACATTAAGTCTCGAAGATCTTATCCATCTACAGGTTTTCTTGTGCTTATATTCGCCATGCACATTTGTGATGAGGTAAAGCTTTTAGCAGTTACTTTCTGGGGTTTGTGTGCTGTGCACTAACGTAAGTTCCTTTTGCTGATGTGTTTTTTGTTTGTTTGTTTTACTTTGCTTAGGTAAATGTGTTTGGCTTTGGTGCGAACAGTAAAGGCACCTGGCACCACTATTTCGAAAAAACACCTAAGTCTTTCAAACGCACTGGTAAACACAGTGGCGGGATTGAGTGTGAAACCATCTTAGAACTTCACAAAAGGAGGCTGATTGATCTATACACGGGGTGGTGAAAAGGATAATGACATTAAATAACACAATTATTTATTGATATTCACTTGTATTTATGATAAATACATATATTAATTTACTCTTTGTTCAAAATGTGTTTTGGCTCTGAAAAATTGTGTGTGTTTTTTTTAAACTTAAAAATGTTTAGATAGCAATGATATTGATTTTATGATTTTGCATCTCTCAGTTGGGTGTGTTTGTGTACGCAAGCAAGCAACAAACATTTTTAATGTAATTTAATGTAATGTTAACTTTCAATTCTTAACGTAAATGCAACATTTTAAAATGAAAACTGATATACTGAAGGCAACATATTAAGTGCACATATATAACATTGTTTTTCCTCCAGTCCTTTGGTGTTTTACTTGCACATGATCATAAATAGGATTGCACTATTAAACCATATGCATTCATATGTTCTTTCATTCTCTGTTAAATTCTGAAGATGAAGCTGCAATCTTCACAAGAGGCATTGTGAAATCTGCATGATGACATGTGTGAGTTATGTACCCTAGTGAAAAAATAGTATACTTAAGCACAATTTATTTGTATAACTAAATGTATTTGTGGCACACTATACATTGGTAATCTTAAAGTCTGTTAAATTGGAACAACTAATTTTGTACTAAATGCATTTTAGTTGTGCCAAAGCAGTGCTTAAGTACAACTAAAGTTGTAATAAGTATACTTGTTTGTGCTAAAGTGGAACTATTTTAAGTATACTTAAGTACACTTTAAATATCCCTTCTTGTATTTAAGTTTTGAAATGCAGAATTCACTCAGCATAAACTATATAATTATAAAAAATGCATTTTATGATGAACGCAGTAGGCAGAATAAGCGTGAGTGACGCGCCATTCCCGCATCTGCGCCTGCGCTCGCTCTCACCTCATGTTTGCGGCTGAATACAAATGATCATCATAATTAATGGACAACTAGGCTATATCAGGGAAAAGACATCAGTGCAGTCCGTCGCAAAGAAAATAAAAAGAAAAAAGCCCGAGATGAAGCCCGTGCATCACTTTCAGATAACCACGTTCATAATCCTGTGACACTTTTTTGACTGTTGACGTTAGTAACGTGTTTTAATGTCGGTAATAACTTCACCACCACCAACAACGCATCTGACTTAATATTCTAGTGTCCATGACTTAAAATGTATTATATAAAACTTAAAGTCTGTTAAATTGGAACAACTAATTTTGTACTAAATGCATTTTAGTTGTGCCAAAGCAGTGCTTAAGTACAACTAAAGTTGTAATAAATATACTTGTTTGTGCTAAAGTGGAACTATTTTAAGTCTACTTAAGTACACTTTAAATATCCCTTCTTGTATTTAAGTTTTGAAATGCAGAATTCACTCAGCATAAACTTCAAATGTATTTGAAGATGGGCACCATCCCAGCTGCTAAAAAAAATAAAAAACTTTCGTTCTATATTAATATTAATATTTATTTATGCATATGTATTTATGCATACATATGCATAAATAAAAATCTAAAGAAGAACAATAATTATATATATATATATATATATATATATAATTATAAAAAA